TCCTGTCATTGTTCTTATTGCTCAGATCAGAGATTTTGCCTAGGGTGAAAAGCAGATAAACAAAAAATAGATACTGTACTGTTGTTTCTAATGTCCTCCCCAAACACCTGACTTTATATGAATCACAAAGTAAACAACTCCAAGCTTACAGTTGCTTTAAAAAAAAAGAGACAGGAGGCATCTGGAAGAATCAAAATACAATGTAAATTGGAAGTGAAGGTACAAGAAAGAACCAAGGAGTAAAATAGCTAGTAAGAGCAGAACTAAAATTAGACAATGGGGAGCCGGTGAGATAACTCAGCAGACTAAAGCTGAACTGGCCACACAGTCCTGGCATAGTAGCACACACCAGTAATATCAACGCTGGGGAGGCTGAAAGCAGGAGGATCACCACAAGTCCGAGCTGAGTAGTGAGACCCCATAACAACCAAATACATTAAAAAAAAAAAAAAAAGACAATGGCCTCAGAAACTATTCCAGTAAAGAAGACACAACTTGGGTTATTCTATAGAACAATCTATACAGCAAGGGCACTGGACGAAACCAACAGAACAATCAGTCAGCAATTAAAGGAGTTAATTAAAGGAGTTAATTAAACAGCTGGACATGATCCATGTAAGACAAGAAGGGGCTGGGGAGATAGCTCAGGGCATAAGCACCTGCCTCGCAAGTACAAGGTTCTGAGTTAAAGGAAGGAAGGAGGAAGAAGAAAGGAGGAAGGAGGAAGAGGAGGAGACAAGGAAGGGAGGAGGAGGACAGCATTGCCTAAGCACTACCCATGTGATTCCAGGGTCACTGAGGGCACACCCATAATCACGCCTCCTAGAGAAACATTGTTACAGGTCAAACATTAGGGAGAGAAACAGACTTGACTAAAATACTCACTACGCAAATAAGTTACTAAGCCCTGAAGGAAGGGGAAACCAGCACCCAGAGCCAATACATTATCTAACTGGTCCAGCTTCCAACGACAATAACAATAAAAAAAAAATTATGAGGCATACAAAGAGACAATAAAGTACAGCCTCTTCATTAAGCATGAGGAAATGCCCTCAGAAAACGCAGCAATAAGTGCCCCCTTGGAAGCAGAGAACAGGCCTCACCTGACAGCAGAGGCCAGTTCCTGCATCTTACACCTCCCAACCTCTACAAATATGAAAATATAAATTTATACTCTTTACAAATTACCCAACCACAGGCATTTTGTTATAGCAGCACAAAACGGAATAAGACAACCTCAATTGTATATACAATTCTCTACTATATTATATATTCTGTTTTACTCCCTGCTGTGTATTGAAGTCACAAATTAAATTTTTATACATTGTATCATTTAGCATAGATATGTAATTATTCTTTTCCCATGTAATTTCTGTGGCAAATAGAAAAAATTATAAACAAAAATTAGTTTGGTGGCTGGTGAGATGGCTCAGTGGTCTAAAGCACCTACTTAGAACAAGCTTAGCAAAGCACAGGGACCACAGTTCAATCC